CAACTTCTTCCTAGAAACATCGCCAAAGGCAAGGGAAGCAAGGGCAAAAATGAACTATTGGGACTTCATCAAGATAAAAAGCTTTTGCAGAGCAAAAGAAACAGTCAACAAAACCAAAAGACAACCGAGAGAATAGGAGAAGATATTTGCAAATGACATATCAGATAAAGGGCTAGTATCCAAAATCTATAAAGAACTTGTTATTCCCATTTCATGGAGGGCAACCCTAAGGCTAAAGAGGGAGAGTTAAGTTTTGAACTTAGGTCACTCTTCAAGGTTTTGTTTTAGAAAAAGTCATCAGTTTCTCCAGTATGAGATGACCTGGATCACAGAAATGTTGCAGATACTGGAGCTTTCTTGTTGGTGCTGGTAGTCTCCTTGAATTTACGTGGCTACAGAGCATTTATTCTCCATTAAGTAGGAGTGGTACGTGTCTGAAGATATTCCTAAAGCAGGACAGGCACTGTATTCAAAACAGACATGTTATAGACAGATTCTCAAGGCATTCCAAATGACTGGTCAATTCAGTCAATTTAGGACTGAACAATTCAAACTGATGGGTTGTCTTGGCATTGTACCAACAAAGTTTCAGGCAAAAAATCAGTCAATTTCTGTGAACCCATCATTCCAACTGCTTGGCCCTGTATACCTAAACTAATTGCTGGATGTTTTTCACTTTTCTCTCATTTGTTTTTTATATTATATGATTTTCCTTGCTTAATTTTCCTATTTCTGTTTGATAAATCCTGTCTGAATAACTCTGAGCTTCTCATTAGAACCATTTTACCAATTATGTTCATGGCAATGCCAAATGTGGGTGTACTTAATTTACGTATTGGTAGTGAAAATAATGACATTTCACCCAAAATAATAGCATATGTTTGCCATGTTTCATGGATTATAATCCTTTTATCTGCTTTTCTCTGAATGTGGTTTGCAATAAAATTCATTCTCAGTAATAAAGTCTCCCAAATGAAATTCCCTATTTTATACTCTTTTATGTGACCTGAGACACTTGAGCAACACGTCCTTTAGAAGAGATGTAATTTGAATGCATTGCACTTGAACATAGCTGTCTTTTATTCAGGTGACCTTTGGTTTGCAATGAATAAAAATTCAGTCAAACTAGATGAAAAACAAAACACACTTTTTCAGGAAAGTGAAAGATTTGCCAATTAATCAGAAAGCCAATTAATCAGAACATCCTTTTACAAAGTTCTAGCTCATCAAATTTCACTTTTCCATTTGTCCATTCATCTACTCACCCATTCCCTTAAGATCCACTGAGCATCTATAATGAGCCAGGCCCTGTGGACACATGAACAAGGGCTCCACGATCCTTGCTCTCGGGGAGTCTTGTCAACCCTCTCCTAATCTTCCTTCCTGCTGAGCATTTCTGTGTGTGCTATTGAAGGGTTGCTGGAAACTGGTGCAAAAGATAGGAGTGCAGTGAGGAGAAGCTGTAAAATGGAAAATCTCATTCACTCTTAAATCTATTAAAGATTAACGTTGGAAATCCAAATTGTGCATTTGGTTAAGATGAGAATATATTTCTGTGGAATGTACTACTCATTGACTTCAGGGCAAATACATTTCAAAGCTTAAAAAAAGAACTGAGCTCAGTAGTCACTGAGACAGACCTAACCATTTTCTTGGAATGATACTTAAGGCTCTAATCAAGGAAATCTCCTAACCTAGCTTCTGTTGTTAGCTTTTTCTCCTGTCCAACTGTGTGGCATCCTCACAATCACCCAGAAGGCTGGTAAAAGTCCAGATTTGTGGACTCCATCCCCAGGGTTTCTGGTTCTTGACGTCTGGAAGGGAGATTGAGAACTTGCATTTGTAGCAAGTTCCCAGGTGACGCTGGTGCTGCTGGTCCAGGGACGAGATTTTGAGAAACATTATTATAAATAAATGTTACTCAAAATGCCAACTTCAGATGTGAACTCTTCATTGCTAGTCTGCAACAAGATGAGTACAGGAACTGAAAGAAAGCAGTGGGAATCTTTTATAATTTGACATTGCCGTGACATCCAAGTACATGATCAGTGGGCCTATCTCACTGAATAGGGTAGAGATGAGCTCCGGGCTGTCAGCTTTACATTGTGAGTCACATGTGTACAAGCTACATGCTAGATATGCACAGGGAGCCCATATTTTATTCTGTAATAGATTGAAAAGAAAAACCCAGGCTGTTCACCATATGTAGTTTGAGCAGCACCACTCTCTAAACCATCACACCATACTGCCTCATTTTTTAAAAAGTGGTTAATACACAAATGAGTCAGGGCATTCCTTCTCACACAGTTTGGGGCAGGTGGGAGGAGGAGGAGGCCACGTCTCAGCCTGGTGCCCTCTGCCTAGGGAGGCCCAGAGGAAACAGACAAGGCTGTTTTGGGTGTGACACCACACACCAGTGGAGTGGGTCAGCCCAGGGGCCAAGGAGATCAGGCTTTTTTGAGGCTGGAGGCCTGGAAAAAGAAACTGACCAGTCAGAATTTAGGATTTCCAACCCTCTACAAGGGTGAAACTAGGTAAGAAGGAAGGTTGGATGCTTCCAGGTGAGATCACTATGGGTCCCTCAATTGCAGACAGCCAAGAAGACTCAAGACCCAGCACTGATAATTCTTTACGGTCACAGAGTCACCTGATCCCAGGTCTGAGAAATTGACTTCATACCTGGGCTTAGCAGCTTGGGTATGACTATATCTGCGGATGGAGACCAAGAGCAATCCCCATCATGGGTGCACCCTAGGGAAAAGGGAAAACAAAAAATCATCCTTTTATCTCAGCTACTTGGGCTGGCATTTTCTTTTACCTCTTCAAACATTTTTATTAAAATTTCCAATGATCTGATTTCTGTCAGGATTCAGCTGTTCTTGGCCTTAAATTCTAGGATCCTCTTGGGCGGGCAAGACGGAAACCCATGTGATGAGGCCTCCATGATTTCAAAGCTTGATGAATGTGTCTCAAATTGACTTTGCTAACTGTCTTTTCAAATAGATCTCCTGATAGCTTTACGATTTTACTAGCAGTGATTTATTTTTTAATATTTTGCACTTCAAGCTCTGATAAATTCAGTGTTCTTTCTAAGCACTTGTGCAAATTAGACTGTAGTTAGAGGAGGTTAGCATTTTTCCATGTTCAATACATCAGGGCCTGATAAGCATGCACTGCAGCTGGCTATTTGCTTTTCTAGTCCCCACTGAAGTCTGCCCTTCTCTAAAGCCCTCCTTGGCTGGAGTCACCCCAAGAAGAGGCTTTCATTACCCTGTATCCAGAAGTAGCCATCAGCTTTGTTATAATGGCCTCCAGTCACTCATTTGAAAGAGTGACCTTACATCACCAGCTACCTCCCAGGGCCTTGTCCTTGGGGCCGGAAAATTAACTGCCCCAGAAATGCTGCAGACTGGCTGAGACACAGAGAGACTACCAGGCTGCTGATAAAGATGTGAGTTTCAGGATGATGACCCAGAGAAGCAGAAAGGACTGTAATGTGGGGGGTATGCACCGGTCACGGGTCAGCTCTGGGCTTGATGCCTGCCGTATCATTTAGAATGCTTTTGATTACAAGTAACAGAAAAACCACGTCGAACTGAGATAAGAGCGAAGGAAATTTAGTGGCTCATATTGGTCCAAGAGGCAGAGCAGGCTTCTGAGTCGATTGTTCTAGGGGCTCAAGGACATCAGCGCCTCTTCTCTCTACCCTACTGTTTCAGTTTCGTCCTCAAACTGATTCCCTAATTCCCCTCAAGGCTGCAAGTCTGGCTGGAGGTTGCCATCGGGCTTCTTCATGAGAAGCCCTCAGAAGAAGAAAAGGGAGAACTGGTTCTCACAGCCAGTGCAGGCAAAGTCAGTCACTTCAATATCATTGGCTAGGGGATATGCCCTGAACTGATTGGCTACGGTCTGGTTTACCTGAGCCAATCGCCGTGCAAAAAGGATAGGACTTCTGTGGTTGGTTTAAACCAATTAGAGTCACTCATTGGAGTTAGGGGTGGAGCTGATGGCTCAAAACCGAAAGTGTGCCACACCTCAGGGGAGGAAGGCATGGCCGGAAGTGGGCAACTTCCACGTGGTGATCCTGGCTCTGCTACTCTCAGCCCCTTCATCTCCTCATTTAACCTCTCTGAGCCTCTGTCTCCTCATCTGTAAATTGAAGATTACCTTGATATCCACCTCCTTGTTGTGGTAGAGATTAGGAAAGAGAGAAGAATAATAAGGAGTTTTGCACTGTGCCCAGCAAACCGTTAAGTACCCAGTGAAAATTATGAGGGAGAACATCAATGGAAGTAGGTGCACGTTACATGCTTTCTTGGGCTGGTTTCCAACAGCACTTCCTGCTTAGTGGATGCGAGTGAAATGGCTATAAAAGGACAACAAAGACTGTTCAGAGAAGACATGTATGCTGATTTATCCGGACATTATTTAGGTGGGAAAAAAACTCAATCCAGGCAGTTCTAATACATGCAGAGGGTGTCGCTTAGTGAGTTTAAGCATAATAGTAATAATGGCAGTAATAATAATATTAAAACAAAGATGAAATGAAGAAAAAAAAGAAAACAAAGACAGAAGGGGAGTAGCTGCAGTTCATCGAGCACTGCCGAGTGTTGTCCTAGGCACCCGACGTGAGTCGTGAGGCCTTGACCTTGGCTTTATTATATCTATTTGTACATGAGCAACGAAACTTTACCTAAGCTAAGGTGTTTGCCTGAAGTCAGTAGCCGTTATGTGACAAAACCTGGATGTGAACCCAAATTACTATGATTCCAAAGTTCATCTCATGTCTGTATTTCAAAACTACTTGCAAAGGAGGGTGCCCTCATTCATTCACTCCCCCACTCGGGCTCCCAGCAGCTGGCCCGGGGGCCCCTGCCATGATTGGTGTTGGGGAAAAGAAAGATGAATAGGACCCAGCAGTGCCTCCAAGAACCAGACAGTGTCCGCGTCCTGGGATTCCTGGCTTATTCGAGGAGTTCCCAGGGCAAGGTTGTCTGGAGCAGAGTTTTGTGCTCTTTCTCAGTCAAATGAGAACTGTTGAATCACTAATGATGATGGAGGCACAGCGTGCTCCACGGCTTGCAAGACACAGGGGGCTGCCCTCTCCCCCCAGCTCCCTCTGCCATCTGCTGTCCTCAGTGAGACAGTTTAATCTTGAGCTATCTCAGGGCAAAGGAGGTCGGACCGTCAGAGGTCACCTTAACTCTCCATAACTCTGCTCCAAAGAAATAATTGTTTCAGAGGAAAATGGCTGTGACCAGTCAGATTCTCCTTTTTTCAGAATCTGGACTAGATGGAGAGAATGGGTCTTGGGGGTTTATATTGTTGATTCTGTTCAATTCACCCAGCTGTGTTGAGATGGCCTCTGTGCTAGGGATATGCAAATGAGTATCACAGCGCCTCTGGCCTCTGGGGTCCACAAGCTGATAGAGTAGACAGAAGCACATAGAATGTAGTACGTATTAGAATAGAATTGTCTGGCATGCCTCAGTATGACAGAACAAGTTGTTAAAATTTCGGCAAATAAGTCCAAACGGATGAACACATGCTGTCCTGACTGCCGATCCACCTGCCCCGTAGTATCCATCTTCTACCTTTTCTGCCCTGACCCCTCCTCAAGGATCCTTCCAATGTAGTGGCCCCCAACTTCCCCATGATCCCCAAACTTCCCCTGTCCCAGCACCGCAGTGGCCCTATGTTTTGATTGCTCAGCATCTGAGCATGCATGGAACATCTGTTGCGGCCTTTGATATCTGGCCACACTTCAGCCATGCTCCCCAGAACTTTCCCCAAGTCTTGTCCCTTTACCCCCATCCTGCAGCCATCCTTCTCTGAGTGCCAAGACAGCCGCTTACTGCTAATGTCAGCCCAAAGGAGTAGATAAGGGTCAGAAATACAGGGCTCCCACAAATTGAGGTCTGCCTCCTGGGAATCAGCTTTAGTGTCCTCTGGACTTTGGTTTTTGTAGGAACACAGGACTCAACAACCAGATGGCTGGATCCTTTTATCTGGTGATTGGAACTCTATCCATTAGGATACTTTCAGCTACTAGTAAAAAAAAAAATCAAACTGGCTGAAGCAAAAGGGAAAACTCAAAGGAAAAACACTATGGATCCCAAGCATGGTTCTGTCTCATTGTCTGAGTGATCACAGTGACCTCAGTGTCCGTGTTCTGCCGTATTCAGTTGGCTTCAGCCTCAGGTGGACCCCTCTCATTGTTGCAAGATGGTGGGCAGCAAACAAAATCAGAAAAAGATTGTATGTTCTGGTGTTTTTATCCTCAGAAAAAAGGAAATCTGTCCCCACAGCCCTTCAGTTGGCTCACCCTTCTGTCTCATCGTCAGAAATGGATCACACGTTCCCTCCTGTTCAATGGCCAATGAAAAGATTACAGTCACCATTGCTGGCTTTTTCAATCAAGATTCCCAACTCCTTCACCAGCAATCAGGAATGTTTGCTACTAGAACCTACTGGAAAGAGAAAGGTAGAATTGGGGAAGATGATGTTGGTGAGTGAGGTAGGGAACTTGGGCGTATGTCACTAGAAATCAGCAATTAAAAGGCAGAGGATTTTATGGAGTAAAGAAACCTGGTTTGGAATGCCAGTATTACTTAGACCATTGTTTCAGTTGTTAATTACTATGTAACAACCACCCCCAAACTTCGTGGCTTAAAACAACAACCATTTATTATTGCTCACTGGTCAGCAGATCAGCTTGGTGGTTCTACTAATCTGGGCCAGGCTCATCTGAGCTCATCTGGACTCTTCCAAGCATCTTCAGGAGGCTGGCTGGGGTAGGTTGGTCTCAGCTGAGATGGCTTATCTCTGTTCCACATAGCCCCTCATCCTCCAGCAGGCTTTTCTGGGCTGGCTCATTGGACGGCTCACCTGAGTTCCAAAAGAAAGAGTAGAAGGAAGTGTTGGAGGTCCAGGCTCAGCATCAGGACACTATCAGCAGAACCTCGTTCTAATGGCCAAAAGCAAGCCATGAAAGCAGTCAAAAGCTGCAAAATCACATTGCAGAGTGTGTGTGGAGTGTGGATCCTGGGAAGCGTGAAGAATGGTGATCACTTTGGCAATCAATCCACCACCGTGACCTTTGCAAGACATTTCTTTTCTCTACACCACCATTCATCACCTCTAAAATGACACTAATAATAGTATCGACCTCAAAGTCTTATTTAAGGATTAAGTGAGAAAATGCATGTAAAGTGCTTAACTCAGTGGTGGGCACATAGTAAGCATTAAATAAGTACTAGCTTTTATTACACTTGTATTTAGGATTGTAACTAGTGTTATTATAATTATTATTATGGTTGTTTTAATGATTATTATGATTTTGAGTATCTGTCTGCTGGGTTATGTCTCCCCCTAGGATACAAGCCTAGTGAACTGATTTCCAAAAAGCCCAGACTTTATGGAAATCCTTGCTGACTCCCCAGAAGCCTGCTAATCAAGGGACCGTGATTTCTGAGAGCTCCCCATCTGCCTTCTTCCTGCTGTTTGGTGAGTGCCGTTGTCTCTGGGTTTTTGCTGTGCTGGCTGCGTGGAGCTCCCTGAGCTCTGTGGCTCAGTGGGAACCCTCCAAGGAACGGTGGTTAGCTGCTATTTCAACAGAAACCACTAGTTTTGGGAGGAAAGGAGCAGGGAGCAGGCTTCACTCCCGGGACAGCTGATTTTCTCTCCTTTCCGCTGTTCTATCTGTGCCCAGTGCAGAACTCTCTAGAGGGGATAATAGAGTTCATGGTGCTCAGTGTGGGCTGTGAGTGAGGGAAGGAGAAATCTGGCAGCCTTGTCTCACACTTACTCCAACGCAAGCCTCCAAGAGTTAAAACCGGTTGGCAATTTCTTGGAAAAGGGAATTTGTCTCTTAAATCTGCAAAAGAGAAAAGTTTATTGTTTCATGTTTTAGGGGGGTTTTTTTGTTGTTTCTTAGGGTGGTTTTGTTCACAATGGAAAAAAAAAAACCTCCCAGTGGTGGTCCTGTTGTTTATAGGCCACGCAGACTCTGCGAGCACCAAGGAGCAAAGGTGCAGGGGCTCGTTCCACGAGGCGGCTGCTAATTTCATTTGCCACCACGGTTTTCCCATCTGCTAAGGGACCGGCCCAGACAATTTGCCATGTATAATTCACAGTCCTTTGTAATTTCAGCTCAAGCCGAATCAACAGCTTGATCGAAATGCCATGGTGAGGATTCAGAGGGTGGTGCTCCTGTCTTTTGTCCTCACTCCATGCCAGCGAGGGCCCTTCCCTGTGCACACCTTCTCTCTGTCCCGCTCTCCGAGTCTATGCTTCTCGCTCCCTACCTGGTATCACGGCCGGCCCAGTGCTTCCCGGTCTCTCCCCTTTAGCAGGCTCTGTATCTCTGCCTCACAAATGGACTGCCACCGAGGCCATTGCCGGGGCTCCGCGAGCTAATTGTGGCCCCCACCCCCGCCTCATCTGGCCAGGGCTAAGATGGATGCTCCATTTGCGTTATTTATGCCTTTCCTTGCGTTCCAGTGATGTGTTTGTGCATAACATATGTAAAATTCTGCTGACATGGGGAATTCATTTGGTTCGAGATGTTCAAAAAGCGGGGCGGGAGGCGACCTGGTTTGTGTAAATTCACAAGCTATCAGACAGCTTTGCTTTCTTTTCCCTGAGACGCGGAAGATGGCTCCTCATGAGAGTTCTTTGGATTACACTTGACAGTCAGGTGAGCTCTTTTGCTTAAAGAGCTTTGTTTCCATTTGGGCTGTCAGTCTTCCACCTTCAAATGGGGCCAGGTGAGGGACTGAGGCCCATTTTGAAGTTCAAATGCAAGCCTGTCCCTGTGTTGCAACTACAGCCAGAGAATATCAGAGCCACAAGGCCTGAGAGCATCTCATTTAATCTCTTCCATTTGTAGAGGAAGCCACTGAGTCTGAGAAGCAGAAGTGGCTCGCCAAGCAGCGAGCCATGGTACATCATGTGACTCAGTCCTTAAATTCCTTCCAATAACACGTTGTTACAAGGGGCTGGCACCCTTCCAGGCACTTTACTTACTGTCTCATTTAATCCCCATGAAAGACTCAGACACTGGGACTTGCTATTCTTCTCATTTCATAGAGGAGGAAACTGAGGCACAGAGAGGTTAAATGATTTGTCCAGGGTCACATAGTACTAAGCAGCAGAGCTAGGACTCAAACCCAGGGAGCCTGGCTCAAGAGTCCCTGATCTAACCACAGTGTTCCTCTGTCCTAAGGCGTCTCTGAGCTGCCACGTTGATTACAGAAGGATGCTCAAAGCCCTCACTTTGCAACATGAGGCCTGCTATGATCCTGCCCCTTCTGACTTCCTGAGCTTCATTTCTGCTACTCCTCAGAATGTAGAGTTGGGAAAGGCAGTCTTGTGCATGTTGTCTTTCAACCCCTGCTCAGCCACAGAAGAATGGGCCTTGGGCCTGGAACATTTCCTTACCAAGACATGGGGAGGCCACACAGCCTCTGCGACTAGCTCTCCCCACTTCAGAGCATTGTGTACTCCTTTGTACCACTAAGCGCACACGTCAGTGGCCCTCAGGCACAGCCCAGAACTCTGTAGCTCAGGCCCCAGGGGAAGAGAGAGAGTCATTTTGTTGCAGCACGAAATGGGGAGGGCAGTCACACCGCCCGTGTGGGCTGCTGGGTGGCTCCATGGGCCGTGGTGGGCCTGACCATGTCAAGGGGCTGGATCTTCTGCACGCTCTCAACAGAACACTCATTACATGAACTCAGGCTTTCTTACCTCCCCAGCTGAGCACCGTCCTAGCCCATTTTCTGATGTTGTAATCACTTCTTAGGGCGCAGGTGATGGACGACAGAGCAACCAACTCCCCAGTGGGCTGGGTATGAATCTGCCTCCTCTGTGGACCAGGGCAGGAGGAAAGGACACAAAGAAAGGGCCAGCCCCTCCCCCCGGGGTCAGGTGGTACTCGGGCTAAGGGTACCTTCCTCAGCTTCACCTTAACCTGACTTTCCTACCATATTGGAGCAAGGGCTCTAGCTGAATATTATGAGCCAAGTACCATGAATATTATGAGTTTATTATTGAATAATAAACCACTTTTTATGACTTATAATAACACACATTGCAGTATTACCACAGTAAGAAGCAATGGCAATTTTACTAAGGAGACTCCTAGGAGATAGTCCTTAAGTTCTATAGACGACATATATTTCATACATATAATTCTGACACACTTCTACATCGTGTTATGGGATGTGTTCAGAAACTGTGATTGATAACTATGTTCTCTAAGCCAGTTGTTTTCAAATGTCAGTTCATAACAAAGCTTTCACAGACCCACAAAAATAATGTGTGTGTGTGCGCTTCTAAATTTGTGAATGTCCTTTCTTGGGAAGCAATGTCACTTATTCAAAGATGGTAGGCTCTTGTTCTTTTAAAATTATCAAGGGCAAGAAGAAAGGCAAGAAATTTCTTTCTTCTGTGAAATAACAGTGTTCATCCTATTGGGAAAGTCTTGAGATAATGTATTTCAATTTCTTCATTTTTTTGATATTCTATTAGATTCTTGGTTTATTTACTTTATTTAATTAACTTATTCGAAAGCTAAGCAACCTCTGTGTCACCTCACTGAGAAGATGATCCATGTCCTAAGCTCTCCGGTCCAGAGTATCTGCTCAGAGCTGGTGGGGCTTGGTCCTCTGTCTCTCTGGCGGCCTCCTCCTCAGAGCCCTGCCTCCACCCAGGCTCTCGTGCTCTCACACAGCTCATGATGGGCCTGTCCTGACGTCACCTCGAAACAAGAGGCCTATAGCCCAAATGACCCTCCACTTTTCTACTCTTCTGGCCCCGGGTCTCACCTCCTAGTTGGGGGGCAGGTATAGGCAGCGGTGAGACTTTGCCACAGTACTTTTCTTAAGGCTTTAGCATTATAACCCAGGGCATTCATTGCTCCAAAGGGTAATTTCCTATCGTGGAATTTCAGGCAGTGAGGCCAAGTGTGGTGAAGGCTCCAGGCAGCACTGGAGAGCTAGTCTTGAGCGCTTCAAGTTAGACCCCTCGGGGGCCTCCTGAATGTCCGTCCTTGACCCAACCTGGCTGCTGGAAACACCAGAGCACCCGGAGACTCAGCCCTTCCCTTGAAGTCAGACACCAAAATCATTCACCTGGCTGTGGAAGGAATGTGTCGAAGGAATAAGGATCATCTACTGCATCTAACTGCAAATTCTGTCTCCCTTTGTCTGGCTCACTTCTTGTCGACCCCCATCTCCCTTTCCACTCTTCCTCCTTTATCTTCTCTTGCCACAGAACATTTTATCCAAATAGTTGAAAAATGTGTGTAGTTTGTATATCCACACATTGATATTCTCTGTAGGTTCTGTGATCTCTTGTGCAATGTGGGGATGGCTTTTGAAACTTTTATAAGGCTGAACTAGCAGGAGATCAAGGACATTCAGCTAGGTACACAACAATCCTTATTAAAATAGAAATCTTCAAATTTTCTCTTGAAAACTTAGAGAATGGCCACCGGAGGCCCAAAGAGGAGGAAGTATGTGTGGAAGAAGGGATATGAAGGAAAGAACCAAGCAATATGGCTTATGGAACCCATAGAGATAGAGTATCTCTCAAGTTATGGTCCAGAAAATGTTTTTGCTCTTCTTAAAGCATTCAGTTGTATGATCTGAGAGAAGTGTTCATTTGTCTTGAGAGATGTGTGCATTTAAGACAACAGACATGTCTGAAACTCAAGCTGTTGAGGAGATTCTGGTAGATGAGCCCATGCCCACACCAGATATGTTTTCTATGCCATACCACCCCATAATATGACTACTCTATGGACTTGGGATGGCAATGCCACCATTCATTATACTACTAAGGGTCCCCTTCTGCTTCATTACTTCTCAGACTTGGGGAAACATACAGCTAGAAGTAGACGAGAGGCCCTACCTCCATCCCCACGTCTGTAGTTGGTCAGGAAGCCCTGCTTGGTGATCACAGCTGCTTTCTTCCATGACCCTGTCCATGGTCCCCCTACTCTCTGCCCTCGGCTCAGCTGGATAGGTTCTTTGTCTGTGGGATGACAAAACCTTCCATCACATGATCTGCGTGCTTCATGGCCTTGCCCTTAATGGGTTGCCTCAATTTCCCTTTGCCAGGGATCATCTATCTGAATTCTATATGATATCATTATCTTCCATCTTTTTGATATGAGGATGTGTGCTTACCCGCCTCTGTAGCTTGCATAGAAAGGCAGATACACACTGAAATTTAAAACCTTAAGAAAGGTACACAAGTGAAGTATCGTTAGCTAAAATAAAACATTGTTGCCAAAAAGTCGAACTTGAATCTGGTCAAACTTCCAGATTTAACTAATAATTTACCGGAAATTCAGGGAAAAGGGACCTGATATTGTTAATAAATTGGAGAGAGAGAGAGAGAAGTTGAGATTTAAAGACTGAAAGAGACTTAAGAGACACATCAAACTATTGCCATGTATAGACCTTATTTGAGTTCTGATTAAACCAAAAACCTCTTCCATCTCATTAGAAGGTGAATATTCAGTAACTTACTTTTTGTGTTTAATAATTTAAAGGAAAGTTTATAAGAATAGATTGTTATTGGTTAAATATCAATGGTAGAATTTTTAAAAATATAGCATTATAGGCAGAATGAATAAAAATATCCACTTCAAATCACAAATGTATTTTTGTTACAAAACAGTAAAATAGAGTGTTCAATAATACGACTTTTAAGCATAAAAATACTTTCTATTAGGATGAAATTATGAAAGATGAGTAGAAAATAAATGAATTATGAAAACTTAGGAAAATAAAGAAATATAAAATTTCAAGAGTTTCTTTCTATATTAAAAAAAAAAGTAGTAAGCTGGGTATCACCTGCTCTGGTTCTTAGATTCTGTGGATACATTTAAAAGGATAATGTAGGGGCACCTGGGTGGCTCAGTCAGTTAAGTGTCCGACTCTTGATTTTGACTCAGGTCATGATCTCAGGGTCCTGGGATCGAGCCCCATGTCTGGCCCTGGGCTCAGCAGAGAGTCTGCTTGGGACTCTCTCGCTCCCTCTGCCCCTCCCCCACCCACACGTGTGTGTGTGTGTGTGTGTGTGTGTGTGTGTGTGTGTGTATGTATGTGTATGTGTGCGTGCTCTCTCTCTCAATAAATAAATAAGTAAAATCTTAAAAAAAAAAAAGGATAATGTAACAGTTTTGTTTTTTAATGTCAATATTTAAAACATGCCAGACATTATGTCCTCTGTAACTGCTATAATTTGGGATGAAACTATTTAGATGCCTGCCTAACAGTGTGACAAGGGTACACAAGTTTCAAAATTCTTTCAGGGGAGACACAAGCGCAAGAGTTTGAAAAGCCCCCATGAAATCCACCACTCCTCACCCTGTTTGAATAGGAACTCCTTCTCACACACAGCACTTCTCTGCAGTGTTCAGAACGCATTGCGGGAAGCCCCCCTGCAATACCCTCCACGGCCTTTGCCTGTGGCCCTGCGGCGGCAGATGTCTGCTTCTCAAGGTCAGTCATTCATCCCTTCACTTACTGAATGTTACTCGGGCAGGTACTCCGTTCAAAAGCCTGTGCCGGATCCTCGGGAAATAACCTCTGGAATCACATTCCGTGTTAAATTCTTTATTTAAGTCCTTCTGTGACTGAGGCTAACACCGACTAAATTGTTCCACTCCAGCCTGACTCTGCTGGATGAAAATAGTGAGACAGACGCATGCAGTGTCCTCTTGAAAACAGAAACGATCTTAGGAGAGCCTCACACAAGCATTAGATGTACACGAAAAAAAAGAGTATTTCGGAAGGCGGGTCAGTGTTACAAAAATTGAATTCTCCTCTTAATTAAAATGATTTCTTCGTTCTCTGGCAGGACCCCTGAAAAGGTGAACTAAAAGCCAATTCATGAGGAGGTCCATGTCAGAAAATATCTCCTTATTACTGGTGGAAAAGAACACATGCACACACACTCAAGTAAGACAAGCGATGAGTCACATCAATATTCCAGATCTGTCCTCCATGCCCCCAGACTTTGCAAATGCTCTGAAGATTATGTGTACATGGAGTTCTGATCTGGAGATGATTTACCTGCTGCAGGCTGACCAGCTCTGTTGAACAGAGTCAGCTATATTTTTGGGGGCTTAGAAGATGACATTAATATTGCCCATATTTATCATGGAGAGGAGACACAGAGTTGCAAGCTGCATTTCTGAGACGTGAGGGCTCAGTCATGTGTGTGTGCTGTTTTCCGGTGGTTGTGTTAAACCCAGCAAGCTATTTTTTACTCTCGGTTATGTATTTATATGCACCTGCCTTCCTTAACCTACACACACACTCATTTGCACACCCTTGCACACTTCAGTGTGATTCTTGCACACAGCTATCCCTTCTTTGATTATTCAAAGAAAAAAACCCCTGGGGATAAAAACTCACTATTCCTTCCTGAACAACACACGAGGCCTGACTCCTCTGGGGGTAGATGGGTGGGATGCCGTCTGCAATCTAGTTTTTTGCTTCTTTGTGTTTTGTTTGGTTTTCAGCAATCAGAGAGCCGGCCCCTGTCCTTGCACAGTGATTACTTAAAGCATCAAAAAGAGATCTGATCCACTGTTCTCAGAAGCTGACTCTAGGCATCATAGAACCCGAGGATTTCTGCTTGTCTCCTTTATTTACTCATCCTTTCAACAAATATTTATTGACCACCTATAATATACAAAGCCCTGGGCCAAGTGGGGGGCAGAATTATGTGTATTCCATAGATTCTGAGCCATGCATTTTTCAACATCTTATTGTCTCTGAATTTGGGCTGTTTCCATGGCAATGCCTTTTTGCTCAGTGGCACCCAAACGATTCCATGTCCTCTGACCAATGGCCTCTTAGATTTGACGGGAAACTACATTGTCCGCGACTTCCCTGCTTTCACCGAAAGGAGAAATACGCATAACAGGAGAAGGTAAAACTCCCAAATTGGCAGACTTTCCACTTATCAGCTCTTGCAGCAAAAAAAAAAAAAAGAAGTCTTAGATGCTTGTGTGATTTGAAGGTGATCTGTGTGTTTCATTTACTCACGCTCTCCATGGCCTTAGAAACAGATCATAACTGAGTATGGATTATCTATTGTGATTCTGTGGTTCTTAAATTCACAAATGACTTTTTTATGGCTGTAGAGTGAGTGTGTGTTTGTGGGGGGGTGTAGTGCTTTCTACCAAGAAACTTATTCGGCAATTGATTTTTGATCCATTGTTGAAGCCATAATTTGAGGAGACGGTTTCTTAGGATACATCGATAGCATGTCAGTAGAAACTAGGTAGCATTATTTTTAACAGAGCAAAAGAAAGGTTTTTCTGTTAATACTATTCATTCAAACGTTTTTCGAGTCCCTGTGATGGGTCTGGCACCACAAAGCACTGTTAGGGGACAGAAACAAACGGGATACTACTTTTGCCTTCACAAGACTTACAGTCTAAAAGAAAAGGAAAATCTGTAAACTACGAATGGTCACATAAGGGAGAATAAAATGAGTCAGGTAATCAAGACTCAGGGATGCCTACATGAGATCTGTATCATTTCACAGCAGTACACTGACTTTCAAATATAACAAAATGAAGGTAGTTCCATTTCCTCTGAAACGTGGCTACATCAGAGACAAAGACCCCAGGGGGAGCTGAGAACAATGTCCCAAAGCAGCCCTTCCATGGTTGATACAGAGGCAGCTCCCTTCCACAAGGGAGGGGTGGCGAGGACTATTTATTTTGGAAACTTCATTGTCAGCCCAATTCTTTGTGCTTCCTAGAACTGCTGTCATGACTTTCTACCCAATGATAGGTCTTACCAGTAATGAATTTATGCCCTGCCTCTCATCCCAAGAACCTTGTCCTCTTTCTTCCCTGCTCAGCTTCTCCTTGACCCTCCCAATGCTCTCAATCCCTTGCAGAATCCTTCAATCTCCTCATATAATGCCACCTTTCCTTTTGTTGAACTCCAAGCTCTTCCCGGCAGGAACTGAGCCTGTGTGACACAGAGTAGACCCTAAAAAGAAATGTTGCTGTATCAAGGAGGAAAGAAAGGAAGAGAAAGAAGAGAAGACAACCTCTCTTCTTGACTCTGTGAGTTTACTAACCTGAGGGGAATTTGGGACTGGCCACAAGCAGGACACGGTAGCTTGGACAGCAGAGTAAGTCCCCTCTGGGCTTCCCTCCTAGAAATATCTGGGAGCAGTGGATCTCAACCAAAACTTGTGCCCCCAGCACATGTGACAGTTGATTTTTCACATGAATGACAGATGGTTTGGGACCTAGTCAACTCACCTGGAATCCCCAGAGTGTTGACTTTCAAGTCACTTTTCTCTCTTGGTGTACAAGTGATTAAAAGTGAAGTGAGGGAAAAAGATAATATTGAATCCACTCTCACTTATGGGGAGAAAGGCAGGTCACTTGCAAATTTTGCTGTTTTATTGTTAGTAAAGGATTTCTTGAGACGAACTGGTTTGTAGACATCCCAGCACCACCAGCAGCCCCTTCCCCAGCACACTTCCCACCAGGTCTTACCTGCCTCCCCCCTACCCCAGGGCAGACACGGAAGACAGAATCCAAAGCAGCAGGAACTCTTCCCTCACCCAGTATCCAAAAATGGTATCCAGCTTTCTTCTTTTAACTCCTAAAATATCGATAAACCTGTCAACAAGAGGTTGACAGGTTTATTGATATTACCAGTTTAAAGAGAAGATCACCCATTCTAAATATGTTCATCTCACTGAAAAATAAGACACAAAACCCTTTATTTCCAGTACGCTCAGGTTTAGGCTACTTGATTTGTAAACCATCAGATCCTTTAATAATTCTGGGGAAGTGAACTGGCTCATAGCCCTTCACCAGTGATGTGGAGGTGCTCACGTTACAGTCTCATTTTCCCATCCTTCTCAGCCATGGGCTTCCTCACCCATATACCACACCGTGGTGCTCACTAGATAGATAGGGTTGCCAGATTCAGCAAGTAAAAGTACACAGTTCCCGGCTAAATTCAAATATCAGTTAAACA